AATGCTCGATCCCATGTTGCGAAAGTGGTCAAGACATACTTGGAAACGTTGAAATGGGAAGTCGTACCCCACCCGCCGTATTCTTCAGACGTTGCTCCCTCTGATTATCACTTGTTTCGATCAATGGCATACGGCCTGGCTGACCAGCACTTCCGATCTTATGAAGAAGTAAAAAATTGGATCGATTCGTGGATAGCCTCAAAAGATGACCAGTTTTTTCGACGCGGGATTTGTACGCTACGCCCGAAAGATGGGAAAAAGTGGCCAGCGATGGACAATACTTTGAATCATAAATGTATAACCAGTTTTTTACAATAAAGCCTCGAATTTCGGAAAAAAAAACGGCGGAAGCAAAGTTGTACACCTAATAATAATTAAAAAAATGCATGCAATTTTTTTGTCTGTCCCTATTCAATAATGACATCTTCGATTTTGCTATATGCTCAGTAACTTAAGGATCTTAAGGATTCCTGTTTAACCATGTAAGCATATATAATTTTAAGAAATACTTTTTTCTTCTCTTTCACTGATTTAAAATTTCTCCTTTTCCACGATTAAAATATACGCATTAATACGTGTCTGGATATTGAAATCTGTGTCGAAAACTTTCGAAATTGATACATTTTTTATCATTTCTTAGTGTAACATGGCATCTTAGCTGTCAAGTTGTGACAACATTTACTTGATATGAAACTTTGCAATCTGCTGTACGTATGAAATAGTGATATCCGTAGTTTACACGAACAAACAACGTCGCGTTCTTAAAATTAGATTTAGATGCTTTATCGCAACGAATTTCTTATCACCGACGAGATACTATTAAAAATCATCAATCCTGAACAAATTTTCAGCGATATAAAAAGGGCTTCTAGGATCCAGAAGTAATAGAAGAACGCTGACATTATTGATAATCGATACAAATTTATTATTAACATAAATATTTGGCTTATAAATTCATGATTTTTTATTACATAACTGTTCCGTAAATAAATATACAAATTTGTAAAGCTGTAATATTCTATATATCACAGAAAAATTATAATTTTTTCTCTGCGATTATCATCTCTGTTGATAATCAAACTTTGACGATAATACTAAAATCACAATTTTAAAGAAAAATCAATTAATTAAGTCATGAATAATTACGTTTACTAAATTAATAAATCATAAAATTAGTTTAAGCATAGTACAATATTAGCAGTTTTTTAACTCTTAATATTTACAAGGACGCGAACTCCCGCAAGAATGTCGGTCTTTAATAGTATCTCGTCGGTGCTTATATGTAAATTGACACGCACATATGACTGTGTGTATCACAGTATGAAATATTGCTGTGGTAATATAAAAAGACATGCGATGTGGCGCGCGGCGCGACATCTAATGATTCCGTCGGAGTTTGAGCTTTGCTTTAGGATCCCTTTAAGGTAAGGTACACATTTCTTATTGACGGCAAGTATAATACCGAGGCTTTTCATTGTAAGATAATTATTGAAGTAAGACTTTTTTCTCTTTTCTCATGACAAGATTTTTAATTACAAAATTTTATTTTTCTTTTATTGTTTTCAAAATACCTAAGTATCCTTAAAAAATAAAGATCAACTTTCTTCGTAAATATCTTCGCTAATAAATACGAATATAATTACTAGTAAATAAGTATATATTTTGTAAGTTTTCAATTCCTAATATTAAATAATTTTATTACCTATATTCCACTTGATGCTGCCATTTACATACGGTTCTTTAATCGAAGTACATTTGCCATACCACGTTGTCATAGTGACCACGGCTTGTTTGCATGTCGATGTGAATTTAAATCGCGATTTCATAATTACGCTAATAAACATTCGCGGTCAATCGGCTTAAACGCATGTTTTTACGGTTCACATCGGATAATTAAATTGCCGTGGCAATGAATGACATCATGACAAATCTCGCGACTGAGAAGCAATTCGATTTCGACGATCTACATCCGTCGCCGGATAAACGTCCAGAGAACGAGCACGACATAGAAAAATCCACTAGTACTGTCGAAGAGATCCTGCAGCAAGTGCAACGCGAATTGTGCCTGATCAAGTTGTTTGGCCGGATGTCTCCATAATGACGGAAAACCTCTACGTACGATCACTTCCGAATACCTATCGTTGTGTCAGTGACAAGGAGCGACTACTACTGTGGTACGCGGAAAATTTTCGACGGCAGTTCTATGCGAAGTATGTGAATCGCCGACCGTTGTTGTTAGCCTGCGAAAATGAATGTCGTGTACAAGTGGGTAAAATCTTTCGATTTCGAAAAAGATCCTTGATTGATAATCACGCATTCTTGCTGTAAATTAGTATAATAAATATCAGTATAAAGAAAAAGAAAGAATCCCTTGTTTTTTGTCCTAATTAAGTACTACACGAAAATCTTACATTTCAACAAAATTATTTTGTCTTCTTTTTTCAAATCATTATGGAAGTCTAATAAATCGGTTAAAGAAAAAAGATATATTCATCAAAGACTTATCTTATAAAAGTAGCGTATTTTATATTTATATTCATAAAATTTTGTAATAGAATTTTTACGTTTTATATTTGCAATTTACGAATGTAGATTATTACAAATATGCGTAGTGAAACGTAAAATCAGCTGATTGCAAAGTCAGCTGTTTGTAATATCAGCTGATCACAAGATCAGCTGATTAGGCTATTGCATAGTTAAAATATGAAATCATATAACATTAAAAAAAAATTGTTCAAAATGTCATTAAGGCTTCTTTAGATTAATAATTCGTATCGACATTTATAGTAAAATTTAATGTATAATATAATTCTTGAAATCTGTGAGAACAAGAAGTAGTGATTAAGAAATTTGTATATATATTTGTATATATATTGTATCAAATACATAATATACATTAAGGATTAGGATATATATATATATATAAATTATTACAGACGATATAGAAATTGAGAGCAATGGAATTTTTTATCTTGATAATATTTAATTCAAGATTTCGCACGACAATTTGATTTAAAATATTCTTAAAAATATAATAAGGATTATTATTCTGAGGATTAAAAAATATAGACAAACTTTATGGATTTTTATATTTATTTCTATTTTTTTTACTTTTTTTACAGTTGGATTTTATACAAAGATAAAACTAATTTTTACAAAAATTAAAAGATCAGAAATAAAATATGTACACTAATCGTAATCAATTATCATTAAAATACAAGAAAATTTTTTGTTGTTTTGTCGTAATTTAAATCATTAACATGATAAGAATACTTAATAATATAAAAGAGGACTGCAAAAATATACGCCGCGACGAGAAACGCTATTAGAATAAACGCTTTTTCTGCTTTCCGTAGAAATTTGTATCTACAAGTATCAGACGAAGTACGTTGCCGTATCCGGAATTATATACATGGCGTGGATGTATACAATTCATCAGTGATAACATCGAGTATCAGCCACTAGCCGAAGCTTTCATTATGGTAAGTAAAAAAATCTGGAAAGGAATAATTTGAGATTTTCTTTTTCGTATATTTGACGTCGTCGCGCGTAATCCAAATAATTTTTTAAATAAACAAGTAATAAATGATGATATTAATTTGAAATATTTGAAATATTTAATAATTGTTATTAAAAAAAAAAAATAAATTCCTAAACGTAACCTAAATGTAACACTATCTTAAGAGAGGTAGAAAAAAATAGGAAAAAAAGACTTTCATAAGCATCGCTATGCGATTTGTCATACATATTTAAAAAAAAAAATGAAAGTATTAAATATAATAACGCATAACGCATTTAAACATAGTCTCGGTCCACCTTGCTTTAAGAGATCTTAAGTCATAAGTCGAAAGAGATTAAGTGACAATTTCTGTTTTTAAACTATTTTTGCCCAGTCTTTATAGACTTTAACCGTTAGACTTAAGCGAATTAAGCAAAACTCAATTCTTACGCTCTAAAAGCATAAGTTTTGTATATTGTTACTTACAGCTTATGACCTTTTAAAGCAAGATTGTAGACAATGCAATACTGAAAAATTTAAAAATAATTACAATATAATCTAACCTAGATGATAATTACTAAACACTTTGGTGAAACAGTTTCACTTATATGTTCAAGTAATATACATATATATACACATATAAAATCAAAAAATTTGTGAACTATTAATTAAATAGTTTAACCAAAATTTGGAAATTGATCAAAGCTAGTTGATTATTACTAAATCGTACGAATAAATATAACCAAACGAATTGATAAAGTTAAATTACATAGTAATTTATAAATACATACTGAATAATATAGCAAATATTATTAAATTAACCTCATATCATAAAAAATTAAAATTTTTATTTGATTTAATGAATATTATCAAGTCATTTGGTTATAATTACTGTACGATTTAACAACTACTATTAAAGTTATTATTAACAATTTGGTAACTACACTCAGAAAAAGACTATTGGCAATTATATAGATGATATTTATCTCATTTGTCTTCTATATAATTATATCTGAGCTTCGGTCATATAGACTTGATTATACAGAAAGCTCGACTAAATTTTATATGCTAGAAACGACCGGCAGTCCTGACTATTTTTAGACTCTTAGTTGCACCAAATAATCTAACAACTATTATAAAATTAATCAGTAAATCTTTTTTCATTTTGACAATAATTACATATTTACAAATAATTACAGATAATTAAATATTCATTAATATTAATGAATAATTTGGTTTTAAGTATCAAATTGGAGCAACTAAACGATAATTTTATTTTTCTAAATACATAGTAATTATTATTATCAATCAGTTAATTATTATTATTATGTTTGATGATACTAAATATTGCGCCAATCAACAAAACTTACTAACTATTACCAGACTTTTGTCTCAATGTATCTAACGCATAATAGACATATACATTATTTACATTATATATATATATATATATTTACAATTATATATTTACAAATATACATTAGAAGTATGATTGTTACAGCTAGCTCATATCATTAGTTCCTTGGGGAAGTTCCTTTTTTGACTTCTGGATCCAATCTTGTAGACGTGTTGAAATTTGCTGTATGGAACTTATTTGTTTCACAGTACATACAGGCGAACCGTAAAGGTGTAACCATTGTAACAACTTGGTGCAACATTCCACTATTTCGTTACATCCTGGTGGCAAGATACCAGGATAATTTTTTCTCGCCGTCTCCATATCGTCATCATTGTCATTATTATTTACAGTGTCAAACTTCACTGCTTTTACGCTTAAGGAAGGTGGTTCATATGGTTGATAAAGACCATTTATTACACTAGAAAGACTTTTATTTTTTCTGGATGTTTTTCTTTGAGGAACGTTTGTGACTGGATCACTGCTGCTAGTCGATGGCATGGCGATTTCATAATTCAATTGAGAGACATTCCCAGACGATTTTTCCATATTCGGTGATTGATTGTTCTGTGTTCTCGATGATGGTTTCGGGATGTCCATAGTTGACGTGAGTCCTGGGGCACTATGTTTCCTTTTATTCCCATTAAGTAATGCGTTATTAGTTTGTTGTTGCAGTTGTTGCAGTTGCTGTTGCTGTTGCAGTTGCTGTTGCAGTTGCTGTTGCTGTTGCAGTTGCAGTTGCAGTTGCTGTTGCTGTTGCAGTTGCTGTTGCAGTTGCTGTTGCTGTTTCAGTATATTCAGCGCAAACGTCGGACCGTGAGTCCTAGCAATTTCATTAATCAAATTTATAACATTCGCGTATCCAGGATAAGGAAAATATACCTCCTTCCCAAGTGAGTTTAAAAAGGCTGTTGCTACGGTCTTGTTTGCATCACTCGGTATATTATATAAGTTGTTAAATAAGGTGTCACTAACTACCGGTGCTCGAACTGATGAAATGTTATTGGCCATTGTGGTACCGGCAGAACTATTCTCAAGTTTGATTCTTTTGTGAGATGGACCGGCTTCAAACTCCTCAGTTCTCTCCGTAACTGCAGAAGTCGATAATCCCATTGTAGCTTGGGTCGTTGATGTCGATCTCGATGAAAAACCACCCACTGTACTATTGTTAGTATTATCAGAACTCGATGTCAAAATATGTTCGTAACCTGCCAAGGATGTTCCCGGCAGTGTCGTTCCCGAAGTTTTTATATTATTGACTTGCGACATTATTTTATCCTCTGCTTTACACCACCCTCTAAGGGTGGATTCTGGCACGCCGATGTCGCGTGCCACAGCAGCTTTGGATTCACCGTTATGAACCCTATTAATTGCATCTATTTTTTCTTGGGGCGTGAGAGTCACCCTCAACAGTCGCTTGCCCGCCTGTCGGGATTCGTTTCGCGGCATCGTACCTCTAGAACTCGTACTCGGCCCAGGATCGCTGTTTAAATCGTTTTCATATCTGCCAAATAACATGTAACTTTGACGATGATAATGGCTGTTGTTATGTTGACGTGTTGGTCTACGATCTCTTCGATCCGCAGATCCCCCCGAATCTGGGGAAAGATCCACGGCGAATTCTTGTTGTTGATCCAGTTTGCTGTTCTTATCGTCAACACTTGGACACTTAACACTATGTTCGCTGATTGTCTTTATCTTCTTTCACCAATATCAATTAATTTTCAAAGCACTATTTAAGAGTATATGGCACGCGCTTGATATCAGAAACCAGGAATAAGTTTGAAAAGTCAAATTATACGTTCTTTGTTACGGACACACAAAGTTTCTCTCCGAACGACGAATGCGATGATGACTGGTACGAACGCGGAGATTAGAACGGAACGATACGTACGCCGCGCTGCCGGTACGGAGTGTGGCGCCGACTCGCACAGTAAATAATACTGTGTGCAACGCGGTTACGCCATCGGAGCCGGTCGGGGGAGTAGTAGTACTCGTTCCTCCTCCGTGGAATAGCACATGCGCTCACAGAGAATAATAAAGTTTTATGAATGAAACAACTCGGTCGGTCGGGCGGCTACAACCACCACCTCCTCTCTCTCTCTCTCTCTCTCTCTCTC